GAGGTGACCAAATCCATCACCAGGTGTGTGGATCCCTGCTGCCAGGAGGTGACCAAGTGCACCACCAGGTGTGTGGATCCCTGCTGTGGGGGCGTCCAGGCCGTCACCAAGCGCGTGGAGTCCTGTGCCACCCCCTGTGTCACCCAGGTGTCCTGTCCCACCCCCTGTGCCACCCAGGTGTCCTGTCCCACCCCCTGTGCCACCCAGGCCTGCCCCGCCTGCGGCCGGCGCTGCCCCCTCCGCTCCCGCAAATTCCGGGGGCTCTGAGGGGGCTCCCGGGTGGGATCCCGAGGAGACCCCGCCCTGCAGAGCCACTGCCCTGGGGGGTCTCCAAAGGCCGAGGACTGAGAGGTTTGTAAATCCCTGGACCTCTCCCTCACGTCCTTGTTTTCCCGGTGCCCTCCCTGCTCCGGGAGCAGAAAATCCTCACGTTCTGCACCATTCCTGCCGTGTTTACCTCAAGAAAGTGCCTTTCCTTGTACATGTAACCGAGTGATTTTTGTGCCCCCGGGAATATTTCCTGGGAGAAAGAGCCTGTAACTCCTCCTTGCCCTGATCTTGGTGGAGGAATGTCCTTGTTTGTTGTTCCTTTGTCACCTTCCCCTTCCCACCTGCGAATAAAACAAACGATCTTGGCACCACCCCAGTGTTCCCTTCACTTCTGTATTGCCCTGGACTCCTGTTTTATTCTTTTGATTTCTTCCTAAAATCCCGATATCTGCAGAGTGGCAGCTCCCTCTGGAATGCTTGGAAAGGTCTAAGGCAGCAGCTGGAGACCTGAGACCCCTCTGGGATGAGAGAATCAAGGAACATCCCGAGTTGGAAGGGACCCACACGGATCATCAAGTCCAGCTCCTGGCCCTGCACAGGACATCCCAAAATCCCACCACACCCCTGAGAGCTTTTGGAAATGCTCCTGGAGCTCTGGCAGCCTTTGGGGCCATGCCCACTGCCCTGGGGAGCCTGGTCAGTGCCCAACAAAGCACCCTCTGGGGGAAGAATTTTCCTGATATCCAACCTGACCCTGCCCTGGCACAGCTCCAGCCACTCCCTGGGTCCTGTCCCTGGTCCCCCCAGAGCAGAGCTCAGGGCCTGCTATCCCAAATATCCCAAATATCCCAGCTCACTGCTGGGACAGGGGGTGCTGCACATCCCGAGGAATCCCCCTGCCGTGGGTTAGGAAAGGCTCTGGAACCCCAAAGGTGGGTTCCCAAAGTGCTCCAAAGCTCCCATCGCTTCCTCCTCGGCCCCAAATCTCCTGGAAAACTGTTCACCCGGGAGTCAGGAACGTCCTCGGGGGCTCCAAACCTCCTCCCTGTTACAGAGGAAGGTTGTGCTGTGCAGGTTCTGTGCTGTGCAGGTTCTGTGCTCTGCAGGTTCTGTGCTCTGCAGGTTTTGTGCTCTGCAGGTTCTGTGCTCTGCAGGTTCTGTGCTCTGCAGGTTCTGTGCTCTGCAGGTTTTGTGCTCCGCAGGTTTTGTGCTCTGCAGGTTCTGTGCTCCGCAGGTTTCCAGGCAGGGAGATGGGCCAGGGCAGGGTTTGGGTGAGCGAATCCCTCCTGGAATGCTGGAGGGAGGAGCGACAGGAGCGCGGGGGAGGCGGCAGACAAGGGTGTGCCCATCTGGCAGCACCCACCGGCTCCTTCTTTGAGGACACCCCGGGGCACAGGGCTGGTGCCTCCCCTGGAATTGTCACCGTCTCACCTCGGCAAGAGGAGCCAGCCGGGAGTGGGAAGTGACAAATCCCACCCAAGGGACGCGGTCTGGGGACATTTGGCCTCACACAAACCATCCCACCCCTCACAGTTCTGTCTCCATCCTCCTCTCTCAGCAGGTTGGGGTGAACCAGCATAAAAAAAACCCCACAAATTCTCCCCGTGCAGGTTTAATTTTACCCCAGAACTCCTTTAAAACTCACTAAAAGGTTCTGTGCAGGCAACAATTTCCTTTTCTCCTGCTGCCAAATCAAATGGAAGAACCCTCTGGGAATAAAGGAACTGCGGGTGGGAAAAATGGCACCCAGATAAGATTCTTCCCTTCTCATGGCTTGGTGTTTGCATGATATTTAATCCTTCAGATTTTAATTCACCTCGGCTCAGCAGAGAGCTGAAACTTCATTTCCAGGTGGGGCTGGAGGAAGGGAAACAGGGAAACAGGGACACAGGGATCCCTGGATCAGCACCTGGGTGTTCAAACTACACCCACGGAACTGTCCCAACAGGGAGAAAACTGCAGCTCAGGGTGAGAAAACGTGGTGGAATCACAGTTCTTGTCCTGTCAGGCCACGTGCTCTGAGCTCTGCAAGGTGCTCCTCGGAGATCAAAACGCAGCTTTATCCAGTAAAACACAAAAAAAATCCCACGGAAAACCGGATTTCCTTCCCAAAACGCCGAGGAAATCAAAGCAAATCTCTTTGAGAGTCCGAAGGCGAAGGATAAAAGAGCTGAGGCATTTTTCCCTGACCACAGTTAGTTCCTCTTCCCGAGGTTTAATTATCCAGGTGCTCGTTTATCATTCCTGCCCGAGCACTCACCTGCCCCAGTAAACAGGAAAAGGGGTGGATGGGGCCGGGCTGGGGCTCCTCATCCTCGTCCCCAGGAGGGATGAGCTCATTCCCTGAGCAAACAGGCCCTGGGGCAGGGGGCAGGTGAGCCACAGGTGAGCCACTCGTGCTCATGTGAGGCCAAGGGCACCCCCCACTCAGCCCCCTGGCATCCCAGCTATTCCCAGAGCCAGAGGAAGGCTGGACACAATTCCACCAGCTGGAATTGTGCTGGATCACACCCTCCCACCCCGCCCTGGCGGGGAAGGGTGACAGGGGAAAGTGGGGTGTGAGGAAGCCCCAGATTATAGGATTTAATTGCAGGCGGGTGCAGCAGAGTGGGCTGGGAGGGCTGAGGAAATGGGGAGAATCCCAGATTCCTGTGAAAAGGCTTTTTCAGCAAAATGTGAGTCCTGGGCAACAACAGCAAGAGGGACACGGAGGGGCTGGAACGTGTCCAGGGAAGGGAACGGACACGGGGAAGGGGCTGGAGAGCTCCTGAGGGAGCTGGGGGGGCTCATCCCAGAGAAAAGGAGGCTCAGGGGGGACCTTCTGGCTCTGGAATTCCCTGACAGGAGGGGGGAGCTGGCGGGGGTCAGGCTCTGCTCCCAGGGAACAAGGGACAGGAGGAGGGGAAACGGCCTCAAGCTGTGCCAGGGGAGGGTCAGGTTGGCCATGAGGAGGAACTTCCTCCTGGAAAGGGTGGTCAGGCCTTGTCAGGGGCTGCCCAAGGAGGTTTGGAGTCCCCAGCCCTGGAGGTGCCCAGGGAAGGACTGGCTGTGGCACTGAGTGCCAAGGTGGGGATGGGGCACAGGAGGGACTTGATGATCTTGGAAGTCTTTGCTGATGGTACAGAGCAGGAAAACTCCTGTAGGAGGCTCTGGGGTAAACCAAGGGCTGTGTGAAACCCAGATGGATCCTATTTTAAAGCAAATTGTTCAGCAGTTCATGAAATAGGTTTGTTTGTTTGTTTTTTCCCCTGCCTCCCCCTTTGGTAGCTCCTGGTGGTGAAACACGAAGAGCTCCTCGGATTCTTGGGAGCCAGAAGTGTTGGCAAGGTGATGTTTTGGGGGGTTTTTCAGAAAAAAAGGCTCCTGGGCAGCAGAATCCAGTGCTCAGGGGGCAGTTCTGCTGCAGCAGCAGACCAAGCTCTGGCCACCAAACGAGGGCCACCAAAGGGTGTTGCTGTGGGGTCCTGACTCACTGCCATCGATGTGAGCAGTCAAAGGAGCAGATTGCTCATAAATGTAATAGAGACCCACAAATAAGGGTCAATTAAGGGGTAATGATCCAGCCCTCTGATGTTCCCACCTGTTACAAACGCAGATAAATTTATGTGTCCTCTCAGAAGGGGATTTCTTGCCCATCAAATGTAACAACGGGGTGTAAAATAACTCGGTGTGGGAAGGGAGGGTGGGACCGGTCCCTGGTGGTGGTTTGGGAGCCCAAGGAGAGCACAAAGAGCTCTCCAAGCAGGACTTTGAGATGCTCCTCAGCGAGAAAACTGCTGGAGGCTGCTGGGAGGGCACCTGGAAGTGCTGGAGGACGATTTCCTCACCCAGCAGCTCCAGGAGGAGAAGGTGGGAAGGGATTAATCTGCCTAAATATTCAACCCCTCAATCCCAGCCAGTCCCCTGCTCATTTTGCAGCCTGTTTGATGCAGCCACGGGTGTTCCCCCGCCCCTGAATCAGGTGTTGGAGACAAGCAAACCACACTCTGCCAGTCCCAATTTTATTCCTGCCATCCCTAAAAACCCCCCCGGGGCGGAGGAGCCTCGAGGGGAGGAGGAGGAGGAGGAGGAGGAAGAGCACGAGGGGGGCTGAGTCTGTGGAAAGGCTGAGCCACCGCTGAGGTGCCGCTGGGAGAACGTCAGGAGCAAATCCCGCAGCTCACGTGGGCCCAGGGCAGGAATTCCAGGCTTTCCATGTCAGCACGGGAGAGGATCCGGCGCTGACTCCTGGAATTCTCCATCTGGACTCCAGGTCTGGAGTGTAAACAGGATGCTGAAGGGGCTGCCTTGGGTTGGCTGGTTGGGTTTTTCTCCCATCTGGCATTTTTTGGACACACACACACCACATCCCACCTCTGGGATTGGAATATCTTGGAGAAACAAGGATTTTTTTTCCGTGCTGTGGAGCCCAGTTTTTACCAGCAAACCCCTTCAGTGTGTTAATGTGGCATCCTGGGCCTGAACCCCACCTAAGCTGGAGCATTTCACCCTCCTCTGGCAGCCAAAAATGTCTCTAAAACGAGGGATACTTTGCCTTGAGGGGTTTGATGAGGTTCTCAGGGTAACTGCGGGTGTGTCCCTGCTGGAATGGCCAAGCAGGGATGTTGTTACTCCATGGGGAGGAGTGGGCTGGATGAATGAGCTGATTTAAAAGGTATCAAAGAAGCAGGAATTGGTGGTGGCCCACTGGGGGAATCAGCTGCTCCTCTCCATGAGAATCGGGATGGGATATTTCTCATAGTAAATCAAATTAATTGTCCGTCTTCCCTAATAACAACCACTGGGAAAAACCCAAAGGCGTCATCCAGAGGTTTATGGAAATCAGGGGGCTGAGAACAGCCCCTCGCACCAAATCTGCTTTTGAAAAGCAATTAATTCCTCACCTGCTGGTTTTTAATTACCGTCATTCCCGGTGGGAACCACCTGACTCGGGGAGGGGGTGAGAGAGGAGCCTGCTCAGCATCACATGCTCTTCCTGCAGGAGGGTTTCCCATCCAAAAATTAGGATGTGAGCAAATATGCCGAGCACGTGGAGGTGGAGCCCGGGGAGGCTGTTTGTGGTCGGTGTCCATCCCCCTGGGCTGCCGCGCTTCCGGAGCTGACGCCGCTCGGGCCGTATAAAAGCTTCGCCTTCGGATGCTCCCACCACTTCATTTGGCTCCTGCCTCCCTCACCTGCACGGCTGAACTGGTGAGTCTCTCTCGGGTTTATCAGGGAGCCGATGTGCTGTGGGTTGTTGTGGTCAGGAGGGTGTTTCTCCAGAGCTTTGCCTGTGGGGTTTCTCCTCCAGGATTTGTCTGGGGACTGGGGAGAGGATGTTCCGCTCTTGTTTAGAGTTTGCTCTGCCTTAAGTAGCTTGCAAATGTTCTGTCACCTCCTCAGAAGCTGTGGTTGCCTCTCATCCTCCCTCCTCTTCCATCTCAGTTAATTTTTTTCGTGCCTCATTAAGTCTGGAAATGAAATAAATGAGTGGACCTGCCGAGTAACTCCCGGCACTTCAAAAGGGATGGGTGGGAAGAGGCATCATCTGGAAGGAGGAAGCTGCAGAATTCCCGCAGGCAGAGCTGCAGGAGACACCTGGGAGAAGAGGAGCAAATTATCTGGAATCTGGAGCTGCAGCCTCTGGGCCAAGCCCTGTCCCAGGAAAGGATGAGCCCGGGAATTCTGAGACAACTCCGGGGCCATCCCACGATCCGGAGGATCCTCAGGCTGGGTCTGCAGCCCAGTCTAACCTGGGCTAGTGGGAGGTGTCCCTGCCCATGGCAGGGCGTGGAATGAGATGATCTTTAAGATCATTGCAACCCAAACCATTCCACAGTTTTATGGGATAATGTCTGAGTTTGTGGTCTTTGGGCATCAGCAGCTCCACGTCTGCTCCCAGGGGGACGTGCTCAGGTGGCTGTGAGGATCTGAGGAAGTGACAACCAATAGATAAGCCATGGAAAAATTCCTGATTTAACTAAGAAAGCCAGGAAATGAACCATTTTTATGTCATGGCTCCTCCAGAGTTTCACTGTGGGCGATTCTCTAAAGCTGACAGCCCTGGGCTCCCTAAGGGCGACTCCTGAGCATTCCCAGGAAAGGAAGGAATAACCTGGCAGCGTTAACTGCCCAAATCTGAAGGCAGAAGTCACCCACCCGGGCGATATTTTCCTCCCCCTGACCACGAACGGTCCCACACGCCGGGAATCGGCTCCTGGAGGGGGGAACACTCTCAATATCCCGATTTTCTGTGTCTCTTTGCAGCTGTGCCTGTCGGTGCCCCCCCCGGGAAGGATGTCCTACTACGAGCAGTGCAAGCAGCCCTGCCTGCCCCCCCCCATCTGCCTGCAGAAGGGGGTCAAGCGGGTGGTGGAGCCGTGCCAGGCCGTGTGCCCCGAGCCGTGCCCGGCGCAGTGCGTGGAGGTTTGCCAGGCCCCCTGTGCCACCCAGTGCAGCTCCTCCTGCAGCACCCAGTGCGTGGATGTCTGTGCCCAGCCCTGTGCCCCGCAGTGCGTGGACGTCTGTGCCCCTCAGTGCGTGGACGTCTGTGCCCCGCAGTGCGTGGACGTCTGTGCCCAGTCCTGCGCCCCGCAGTGCCCGGCCCAGTGCCCCGAGCCCTGTGCCACCAAGTGCCCCGAGCCCTGCCAGGGCCCCTGCGTGGAGGTTTGCCCCACCAAGTGCGTGGAGTCCTGCGACACCGTGTGCCTGGAGCCCGTCTGCTCCCGGCCCTGCTGAGCCCTGAGCGCCCCCGGAACGGACACCCCGGCTACAGACCCCCCTGCCGCGCCCTGAGACCCCTCCTGCTCTGCCCACCCCAGTGCCTTCGCCTTGGGAAATGTCCTCCCCGAGTGTTTCTGCCCTTTCCCTCCTGTGACACTTCTGCTCCTGCTGCCCCAGCACCTCTGCTGCTTTTGGTGGCTGCAGCTGGATGATATCGGACTGTTGGGCTTCTTGGGAAGATGTCCAGCCATGGTTGGGCTGGAAAATTATTGAGCCATGGTTGTGCTGGAAAATTATTGAGCCATGGTTGTGCTGTCCAAGATGTCCAGCCATGGTTGGGCTGGAAAATTATTGAGCCATGGTTGTGCTGGAAAATTGTTGAGCCATGGTTGTGCTGCCCAAGATGTCCAGCCATGGTTTTTCTGTCCAAGATATTTAGCCATGGTTATGCTGGAAAAGTTATTGAGCCATAGTTGTGCTGGAAAAGATGTTGAGCCGTGGTTTTTCTGTCCAAGATGTTCAGCCATGGTTGTGCTGGAAAATTATTGAGCCATGGTTGTGCTGTCCAAGATGTTCAGCCATGGTTTTTCTGTCCCAGATGTCCAGCTGTGGTTTTTCTGTCCCAGATGTCCAGCTGTGGTTTTTCTGTCCCTGATGTCCAGCCCTGGTTGTGCTGTCCCAGTTGCTGAGCCGTGGTTTGTGCTGTCAGCAGCTGCTGGTGGAAGATGTCTCCTCTTTTGCTCTTCCCTTCTCTTTCGTGTCCTCCCTCTTGTAGTGTCTGTGTTCAGCAATAAAAACTGACCATCGATGGCATCCTGTGTCTTCTGTCCTTCTTTTCATCTCCACGTCCTCAGGCCCAGGAACATCTTCCCTCAGTTTTCGTTTTCAAAAGCTGCTGTGCCTGGGGAGGGTTTTGTGCCTGGGGAGGGGTTTGTGCCTGGGGAGGGGTTTGTGCCTGGGGAGGGGTTTGTGCCTGGAGAGGGTTCTGTGCCTGCTGCAAACAGCATTTTAGTGTGGAGCAATTATCTTCTAATTCTAGAAGGAAGCTGTTAAAAGGTGAATTTAACCAGTACAAAGCCTCAAATCCAAGCAAGAAGGAATCGAATGTTCTTGGCTGGAATGTTAATTATTCCTTTAAAAAATTCTGCCTTGGACAAAAGTGGTGGGTTGGATGAACTCTTCCCACCATCCCCACTGGCCAAATATAGAAAAGGGGGGGTTTGGCTTCAGGAGATGAACCTTTCTGTGGTTCAGAAACAGGCCTGAGCCCCCAGTGTGCAGTTTTGCTGCCAGGACCTGCAGGTCCTTTGGGTGTCTGTCCATTATCTGCCCACGAGCAGGAAACACCTCCCTGACTGAGAGAGGGGTTGGAGTTTGGGGTTCATTAACACCTGGCAGGTGCAATAACGTTTTACTTGGCTTTAAATACCCCTTTATTTGTTGTAACTTTGGAGCTGAAGGAGGCCCGTTGTCTGGAGGGACATGAAACCCTTTGAAAGCCCGAATTTGGGAGATAAAGCTCCCTTTGTCCTCCCGTGGGACTCGTTCACCTCTGGCCACGCCATCCCCAGGTCTGGGCCGTGCAGAATTGCTCCCCAGCCAGCGTGTCATTAGGGCAGGGGTGGGGAATCTCTAATCTGGAGAAGAAAAGAGTTATATTTAGGTGTGTGCAGAGGCTGTTACCAAACGAGCTGCTAATGAGCCCTTGTGTGGAATTTAACAGCAGATTCCTCTCCAGCCTGTCTGTCGTCTGTCGACACCGAGAGGTGACACCAATAATGAGAGGGGAAAAAAAACCAGGGCTGGGGAAGGCAAACAACCCACCCCTGCTCCCGACACAGCCCGGGCAGGAGGGAGGGAGGAGGGGGAGCAGAGGCTCAAACGAGGGACGTGCTCCCCTAATTCCTGCCGTGGAACACAAACCCTGGGGGTCCCCCTGGGAATTCTGCCAATTCTGCCTCACCAAGGACCTGCTGATGCCACAGCAGTGCCCACTCTTAGGCACGGAAAAGGTCCTGGTCAGGGAGTCACGTGCAGCTCCATCCCACAGGTGAGTCACCTGGGCCCGAGCTCGGAGCATCTCCAGCCACATCCAGCGGCTGATGAAACATTTCCTCAGCTCCTTCCTCGGGGAAAAAAAAAAATCCCCAGGGGATCAACATTTTTCTGGATCCATGCCCGGAATAAACCCGGGAAGTTCCAGCAGGTCAGAGCCAGGGCCTGGGGAAAAGGGACTGAATTCGTCACAAACGAAGCTGCTTCGGTGAAAAGCTGCTGTGAAGTGCAAGGAAAAACGACCAAATGGAGTTTTTCTCTTCTCCCTCTCCTCTGCAGCAGGCCCAGGAATCCCAGCCAGGCTCTGGAAACCCCGGAGGAAGTGGCAGGAGGCTCCTGTTGGATTGAGCTCATCGAGGTTTCCTGTGCTGGTGGGAAGAAGGTGTCCCAGAAGCCCTGACACACTTCCCTCCTGGTCAGATCCCTGGGGATTGCTCAGATTCCTGGGATATTTGCAGCAAACTGGTGCCACTTCATCCCTGTCAGCCTGGGGAGGGTCAGGGAGCTGGTGGGGATGTGTCCAACACTGGGATGGGGGCTGTGGAGGGCTGGTGGTGGGAATAACCAAGGATTTTTGGTGGGAACAGTCGAGGATTTTTGGTGGGAACAACCAAGGATTTTTGGTGGGAACAGCCGAGGATTTTGGTGGGAACAACCAAGGATTTTGGTGGGAACAACCAAGGATTTTGGTGGGAATAGCCAAGGATTTTTGGTGGGAACAGTCGAGGATTTTTGGTGGGAACAACCGAGGATTTTTGGTGGGAACAGCCAAGGATTTTTGGTGGGAACAGCCAAGGATTTTTGGTGGGAATAGCCAAAGATTTTTGGTGGGAACAACCAAGGATTTTTGGTGGGAACAACCGAGGATTTTTGGTGGGAACAACCAAGGATTTTGGTGGGAATAGCCAAGGATTTTTGGTGGGAATAGCCAAGGATTTTTGGTGGGAATAGCCAAGGATTGTTGGTGGGAATAGCCAAGGATTGTTGGTGGGAATAGCCAAGGATTTTTGGTGGGAATAGTCAAGGATTTTTGGTGGGAATAGCTGAGGATTTTTGGTGGGAATAGCCGAGGATTTTTGGTAAAAACAACCAAGAATTGTTGGTAAAAACAACCAAGGATTGTTGGTAAAAACAACCAAGGATTGTTGGTAAAAACAACCAAGGATTGTTGGTAAAAACAACCAAGGATTGTTGGTGGGAACAACCAAGGATTGTTGGTAAAAACAACCAAGGGTTGTTGGTGGGAAAAATCAAGGGTTCCTTTTCCAGCAAAGCCAAGGCTTCAGATGGAACATTTTCTCTGTCCCTTCCTTGAAAAAATCTCAAGGGGAATCCACATTTTTCTGCAACGTGGGTCCATCCTCAAAAAAAAAAAAAAAAAAAAAAAAAAAATCCTGCCCCAACTTCAGCGAGTCTGGAAAAAAGGAATTCAGTTCATTAAAAACGAAGTTAATGCAGTGAAAAACCACAGCAAAGTGCAAGGAAAAAACCAGGGGAAAGATTTCTGATTTCTTGGCTTTATGAAGTGTTTTATTCTCCTTTTAGGGGGAGGAAACTGGAGAAGGGCAACAGCAAAATCCAGAAGCACAGGAGGCCAAAGACAGACCTGCTGCCCTTGCCAGGGGCTGGCACAGGGGTTCCCCCACCCCACTCAGGTTTCTGGGGGTCTGTGCTGTGGTCACAGATGAAATTATCACCTGAATTTTGTGTGACCACGCTCTGCTCCCTCCAGAGAGGACATGAGTTGTGTCCCAGCCCCGCAGAGCCGTGGGATCCGTGCCCAGGACAGGGGTGAGGGAATTATTAATAAATTAGCCCGTGATTACCAGCCTGGGTGTGCCTGGCATTAAAAACAACAAATCCCCCGCAGCTGGAAGAGGAGGGATCCTTCCCAGGCCTTGACTGTGGTCCAGGAGCACGGAGGTGTGAGCGGGGCAGGTTCTGGTTGTGAAAGACTCTGGTCACCGAGTTAATCTGTTGTCATCAGCTCCTGGGAGGGTATAAAACCCTCCTGCCGGGGCAGCTCCTCACCTCCAGTGGCTTCTCCTTCCCAGAGCAGGAGACACCAGGTGAGACTCCAGGTGAGACTCCAGGTGAGTCCTCCCGTGCCCCTCTGCCTGCCCAGGGGGTGGTTCTGGGGCTTTGGGGTGGGGGTGGTTTGTCCTTGGTTTGTCCCTCCAGCCCCAGCTCCAGCTTTTCCTCCCAGCGGGTGAGAGGCACAGGATGGGGGTTGGAGGCTTTCTGAGGTTCCAAACTGTGGTCTGCTGCCTCTTTGGGCCCAGAACCCCCTTGCCAACCCTCTGAATTTTCCCCAGGCTGATAAGAATCCTGCGGATAACCAGCAGGGGTTGGGGATCAGCTGCCAGCAGCTGGCACCCGTGGGAAGCTGGTTTAGCATCTGATCACTTCGGTCTCCTGGATTCCCAGGGCTCTGAGTTCCACTTTTCTGTATAAAGTCCTCTCAGTTCACCCAAATTTAGTGGCCAGAGATGCAGCTCCTGCTCTGAGGCTCTCACTGACCTGAGCAGGGATGTGCTCGTTGCCAAAGGGGGCTGTTCTCCGACCATTTCCTGCTTTCAGCACTCCCAGCACCGAGCTCTCACCAGTTTTCTGCTCCTCTTTAAACAGCTTTAACCCCTGCTCTGAGGTTCTCCTTGAGCCAAGCGAGTTTGCCTTCATACCTGCGTTTCTTCTGTGCTTGTCCAAGCTGGAATGTCCAGCAAACATTTTTTGAGCAGAGGGAATGAAGGAAAACCCCCCCCCCTCGATGTTTGTCCCCTCCTCAGCTCCCGCAGCCACTTCCCTGCTTGGAGCCGGGCTCTGTCAGGCTGGAGCCAGACTCTGTCAGGCTGGAGCTTGCCTCTGGCACTCATTTTATGTGCAGTTCCTCTCTGAGGGCTCAGCCACTCTGCTGAGCCCACAGAGGGTGTGATGGGGGCCCAAAAAAAGTCACCGAGGGGCAGCGAAGTGGCCTCGCCGGGTCTGGAGAGCAGCATCCTCGGGGATTTATGGCCAGGAGTGGTTTGGGTGGGAGGATTAACCTCAAAAGCTCATCCTCTTGGCTGGTGAGTCGATGCCAGAGCTGAGGAACCTCCTGAAACCGTGCTATCCCAAAAGGAGACGTGTGTGTGGAGGGGATTTAAAACAACTGCCCCGGCTTTGGGGTTTCCTTGCAGGCTCGGCAGGGATGTCGTCCCACCAGCAGAAGCAGCAGCAGTGCCTCCCTCCCCAGTGCCAGGAGAAGTGTGTGGCCCCTGCCAAGGGTGTGGAGCAAAGCCAGGCCCCCAAAGGGCAGGCCAAGTGCCCCGTGAAGAGCCTCCCCCAGCAGCAGCAGCAGCAGCAGCACCAGCAGTGCTGCCCCAAGCAGAAGTAGCCCCGACGGCCCCGGCCCCGAAGCTGCCACGGGAGATGCGAATTTCCAAATGCAAATCCCCATTTCCAAACGCTCCTTTCCCAACTTCCCTGTCTGCTGGCGCCGCTGGAAGGGCTCCAAAACCCCGCAGCCGCCTCCTCAGCCCTGCAAGGGGCAATTGCTTTACAACGAGGTGCAATTCATTACCTGGGATTGGCTCACCCTCTGCTGGAAAATAATAAATAAATAAATCCTGGGGCCGCTTTATCCTGCTCTTAATTTGGGACATGCTGCAATAAAATGATGAATAACCTCATGACTTGCTTCCTGATGTTTTTAGTGTCACTTTGCTCGTGTTGTTTGTTATCTTCCTCTTTTATTTGCCAAAACATTACCTTTAAAGGCACACACAGGTGGTTGAGATGGGATATTAAGGATAAATTCCTCCCTGGGAGGGTGGGGAGGGCCTGGCACAGGTTGCCCAGGGAAGCTGTGGCTGCCCCTGGATCCCTGGAAGGGCCCAAGGCCAGGTTGGAGCAACCTGGGACAGAGGAAGGTGTCCCTGCCCATGGCAGGGGGTGGCACTGGAGACACTTTAAGGACCCTCCCAACCCAAACCATTCCATGGTTCTGTGACTCAGGGTCACCCATTCCCGAGTTTCCAGGTCCTGACTGGGAAGCCCCAAGCTCTGACCCCGACAAACACCTGCCTGTTGCCAGCTGAGGCTCCCTCCCACCTTTTTTGAGCAGGAGCCGAGAAAAACCTCCACACCTCGGTATTCAAAGCAACTTTTATTGCTGATTTTCACAGTGAAATGAATCCTGGATGCAACACCAGCCTAAAACAATTAGAGCTAAGTGGCAAATCCATCCACAACAGCCCCGTGTGGGGTGTAATTGAGGCAGCCCCGAGTGTGTTCCCTGCTCTGCCCTGTGGAGCCCGGGGAAGCCACGCCCGGGGTTAATCTCTGCTTTCAAAACGTGTCTGGAGTGGATTCTGGAGGTTTGCCAGGAAGCCTCTCAGCTGGAGCTGCCCTTTCACACGTCCCAGAAGATTCCAGGTGAGCTCTGGCTCCTGCCTGGGCAGAGCTGGTGCCTCTGTCCTAAAATCCCTTCCTATCTCCTGCGGCCCGGAGGATTCTTTTTAATTGCATGAAACCAATCAGCGCTGCCATGTCATGAGCTGGGAGGGTGATCAGAACCCTTTAGCAGCAGGTTCTGCCCAAACCTCCCACTATGAACAGGCAGGAAGCCCCAAATGCAGGTGGGAGGTGGAATCCAGGGAGCTGGGGGGGAAGGCAGGGAGACCAGAGCTGGGTCTTGGGTTGGGGGAGAGTTTAATGCTGAGCTTAAGAAACCCTGCCCTGTGCTGCCAGGGAGCTTTTTGGTGTCTCTCTGGGCCAGGGGGACTGGGAGAGGGCAGGAATTCAGGCTGCTGGGAAGCTGAACACACAACCAGGACCCTGCTGGAAGCCTTTTTATCCGCTGTTAGTACAGGACAAAGCGTTAATTGGAGGGGGGACTTGGAAGCTCAGCAGCGATTTTCTTCTCCACAGAAACTCTGCAGCGATTCAAAAGGTGCTGGGAAATGACCTCTGGATGGGAGATGTGGGAGAGGAGGTTTTGGGTTGGGATCTTCTTCTCCCCTCGGGGCTCGGCTCGGGGCGGCCCCGCTTTACTTCTGGGCGGGAGGCCACGGGTTGGGCTGTTTGAGCTGCTGCTGCTCCACGGGAGGGGCTTTCTCGGGAAGGGAGAACTGCTCGGGGTCGGGACAGGGAGCTGGCACTGGCGCCGGGGTGTCCTGGCACTCCTGCTTCTCCTGAGGGCACGGGGTGGGCACGGGGAGCTCCTTGATCTCCTGCTTCTGCTGGGGACACGGGCTGGGGTCGGGCAGCGGGACAGGGATGGGCACGGGGGTCTCCTTGATCTCCTGCTCCTCCTGGGGACACGGGGTGGGCACAGGGAGCTCCTTGATCTCCTGCTTCTCCTGAGGGCACGGTGTGGGGTCAGGCAGCGGGACAGGGATGGGCACAGGGGTCTCCTTGATCTCCTGTTTCTCCTGAGGGCACGGTGTGGGGTCAGGCAGTGGGACAGGGATGGGCACAGGGGTCTCCTTGATCTCCTGTTTCTCCTGAGGGCACGGTGTGGGGTCAGGCAGTGGGACAGGGACGGGCACGGGGAGCTCCTTGATCTGCTGCTTCTCCTGGGCACAGGCTGCAGCCTCGGAGCGGGTCCCAGGGACTGGCACGGGGCTCTCCTGGCACTGCTGCTTCTCCAGCCCACACGGGGCTGGGTCAGGGCGGGACACGGGCGGCTCTTGGCAGGCTGGTTTCTCCTCTGGGCACGGCAGAGCCTCGGCTGGGAAGGGTGGAGGGCACTTGCTCTGCTGCTGCTGCTGCTCCTGGGCTGGGCACTGGGGCACCACGACCGCGGGGGCTTCTCCTTTGCCCGGCTCCTGGTTTGGCAAGGGCACGGCTTTTTCTGGGCACGTCGCCACCGCCGGGGCTGGGTCCGGGCGGGGTGTGGGGTCCTGGAGCTCGGGATGCTGCTGCGGGCACGGCTCGGGGCAGGGCACGGGCGCAGGGCTCGGCTGGGGGATGCTCTTGCTCAGCCCGGGGGGGAGGGTGAGCTCCTGCTTGATTTGCATCTGATTCAGGGACATCTTTGCGGGAGACGGGATGGTCTGAAAGAAAATCGGAGCGTTACTGCGGTGCTGAGGGAGGCGCGGCAGGAGGAGGGGGATCGGTTATAAAATACCAGTTCAGTTATAAAATACGAGTTCAGTTATAAAATACGAGTTCCAAGGAACCACAGCAAAGTTCTCCCGGTTTGCCCTTGGGTTTCCCAAGGCAGGTTGTCCCAGAATGATGGTCTGCTCTTCCTTTTTCATCCTGCCTTTCAGCTCCTGCTCCCACCCTGCCTTATCTCGTCCCTCCTCTCTCTGCTCTGCGATGTGGGACAGCCCTGTCAGGTCTGGCTGAGGTGGAGCCACTCCTTTGAACCTGCAGCTGATTTGCACTTCACAGTCCTTCCCCCTCTTCCCGAAGTGTCAGCTCCCTTTTATTTCTGTCCTGGGGAACCGATGAGAGGAGCTGACAAACCACAGATCTCCTGGTGTGGAGAGAACGGCCTCGGGAAGTCAAAATAATAACAGAAAAACAACGAAAGTGAAAGACAAACATTTAAAAGCAGAAAGTTGGAAAATATAAATATGGGGCCAACGGGATGTTTTACAGTGGCAAAAGTGAAATAATTCGGTGGGTTTTGCCCCTTTTGCAATGGTTTCCAGGTTTTACCTGGAATTAAAAGCCTTTCCTTTAAGTACTAGGACTCAATTCCTCCTCTTGCTCCGGTTCCATCCCGACTTTGTGGGGGATGTGAAGGGCTGAGGTGACCCTGGCCCAGTCCTCCCGAGTGCCACGGAGACAATGAGCAGGGATAAGGTGTCCCCGTGTCCCTGGATTGGCCTGGCCACTAATGACACCTGTGACCTGCGTGAATCAGAGCCACCAGGAGGGATTTCTGCTCCCAGGGCTGCTCCTCGTGTTCCCGGCAATTTGGGAAACTGTTTTGTGGCTGCTGAAGGCAGGCCCGGGCTCAGCTGGGCTGGGGAAGTGTCTGTGCTAAAGCCTGGGCTGCTGCTTCTCTAAAAGCAACTTAAAGGCACGAGTTAAAGGTGAGGACTGGAAAAGTGGTGCCTGAAAGGGGCATTTTGGAGCCCCCCCAAGCACAGGACCTGCCCCAGCCCGGAGCTGTGGGCAGGAGAGGGAGAGTGGCAGCTCCTTCTCCCTTCCCCCTGGGGTTGCTGCTCCTCTCAGCACATCCCCAAAGCCAGTTCCCTCCTCTCCTCTCCCTCCTGCAGGTCAGTGACACCCCTCTCTTGCCATTTTTTTTTATAAGGATCTGATAAGATCTTTAAACGAATTAACGCATTGCCCTTGCCATGGCTGGCATGAGTGAGGCAGCACAGGAGGAATGCCTTCAGCCCTCTGCCCCTGCAGCCCCAAATCCCTGCTTTCCAAAAGAATTCTCCCATGCAACTGGAGTTTTGACAATATCCTTGTTATCAACAGCAGAATCCCAGGAAATCAGCTTGGAGGGAGCTCGAGGAGGCCACTGCTCTCCTGCCCTGAAGGAGAACTTAAACCAGCACAATTTCCTCTGCTCTCCCTTTCAGAAAGGGTCTAATTCAGCCCTCAGCCCCCCCCAGAGTTACACTCAGCCTGGATTTACCCTGCAGAGGCTGCCTGTCCTGCCCACAGCCCCTCTCCTCTCCAAGACCCTTTTGCATATCCGAGGGCAGGAGGTGAAACCCTCCCTTGGAAAGGGGGCACCCACGTGAGGGGGAAGCCCAGGGAGGCACCAGAGCCCTCTGACTTACCCAGGCGGCCGACAGGGAGTCTCAGGGAGCCGAGTGGATGCCGGGGCAGAGGGATGGGAGAACCTTTATATGGTCTCAAAGCCCTGCCTTCTGGGAATGAGTCCTCCTGGCTGATGAGCTCATGGTTTCACAACTGCCCCGCTGTGTTTCCTCCCCAGCCCTGTCCTACACGTAGGCAGCTCACACACAGGGCTCCCTTCATTCCCCTGACTAACCCAGCTGGACAGGGCACGGGGTGGGAACGAAGGTCAGACCCTCAGGTCGATGCATTGCCTGCACTGGGGGTCTGGGGGTGTTGTGGTGCCCCCTCATCCCCTCCAAGAGTCCTTTCACACCATCCAATTCCCACTAATTCTTGGGCTGTGTCTGTAGCTTAGGAGAGGGGGGTTTAATTTGTCCTTCTCTCTCTTGCTCTTCACCAGTGAATTCCCTAAAATGACTTCAGGGTGTAAAAACTCGTGAGGGGTGAGTGAACTTTTCTTTTCCTCGGGAAGATCTTCATGGATTTCATCCTGCTTTCGTTTCAGATAATTTTGAATCGTTGGGAGGAACTTCCTCCTGGAAAGGGTGTTCAGGCCTTGGCAGGGGCTGCCCAGGGAGGTGGGGGAGTCCCCAGCCCTGGAGGTGTCTGGGCTGGGGGACGAGATGTTGATGGATCAAAGGATGGACCTGATGATCTTGGAGGTCTTTTCCAATGGAAATAATCCTGGGATTTATGAATTAATGTTGTTTTCCATGGTCCAGAAGACAGAGCTCCCACTGGTCTAAGTGAGACAGAACAGGGGACTGAGTTTCTCTCTCTGCATCACGTGGCAAGTGAAGGGATTTTAGTGGTGTCCGAGACTCATCCCAGCAAATGGAATTGGAAACTGGTCCCATTCAGGTGCCAGAATGGCATTTGAAAGGATATTTCAACCTCAATGTGGAAAAAAGGGTGTTTTTCATGGAAGAAGTTTCTTCCATAACTATTATTCCAAGTGAAAATCATTTACTGAGCGAGAATAACTCACCCTCCCCCTCCAGATCTCAGGGAGGGATCAGGACACGGGTCAAGCAGCCCTTAATTGTGCTGGCAGGATTATTTTCAGCAGCAGAGGCGCCTTGGCCCACACAGAGCCCAATTTCATCACCTTTGGGTGTCTTTGGGACCGTCTCTGTCCCGTCTCCCCCGTCCCACCAGGGCTCTTATCAGCTGCAGGTCTGGCTGAGCTGGTCCCAGCCACCACCCGGGATTCCTGGGCAGTGAAGGGAAGCAGCAGCTGCTCCCCCTGGGGTGGAACTTCCTCCCTCAGCGAATCCTTTGGCAGCTGGAGGGCGGGACACGGGAATTTTGGGCCGTGTGTTGTCTCCCAGGGTGGGACTCCACGTGTGTGACCCCCTGGCAGGTGAGGCCCTGCCTTGCTGCCTCCCTCACGGGTTTAATTTTAGTCTCCAGCCTCTGCTGGAGAGGGGAACACCCCAAAGCCTGACTCAGGCCTCCCCAGCTGCTCCCCTGCTGCAGATCCCAGCGGTGGCTCTGCTGAAGGCAGGCACTGGGACACCTTCCAGCAGTGGAGAACCTGCCTGGCCGCTTTCTAGGCAGCACTGTGGTTATCAGAACAGCCCTGGTGCCCAGAGAGGCTCCTGGAATATTGCCCTTTGGAGCAGGGAGATCGAGGGAATCAGATCAGGCTCCTTCAAGGAGCTGGGTTCTCGTTTGCCCCATCCCTGGAAGGGTCCGAGGCCACCTTGGATGGAGCTCTGAGCAACCTGGGAGAGAGGAAGAAGTGGCCCTGCCCGTGGCAGGGGGTGGAACTGGAGGAGCTTTAAGGTCCTTTCCAACCCAAAGCGTTCCAGGACTATGGCTGGCAGCCTGGCAAGGGTTTGGAAGCACCCAGGGGATCCCAGCAGGGTTTGGAAGCACAGGGGTGATTCCAGCAGCTCCAGAGCTGCACAGGATTTTCGGGCAACATTCCCAAGTGATTGTGCCCCGTCAGCTCCGGGCTGGGCTGTGTCCCTCCATCAGGGCACCCTGGAGAGACTCTGGTGGAGGCACATCAAGGCAGAGCCGGGAGTGTTGAGACACCACTTTTATTTGAGCAAGACCTGAGGTTTTCGGGGCGTTTTCGCCGCCGAATTCGCGGCCCCGACTTGCGACACGGGGTGAGGAAAGAACGTCCCTTTCCATGGCTGGGAGGGAGACCTGAACCCTGTCTGGGGATCAGGAGGTGGGGCCGCCCTGGCCTCAACCACCGGTTTGGGTGCAGGTCTGGAGAGGCTCGGGGAGGTCACCTGAGCTCCGGGGCAGCAACCTCAGCACAAAAGCTCTGCCTGTTACCCCAGGAGGCTCTGCAGCCAGCCCGTGGAAAGGGAGGGAATGTTTCTCCCAGACTGGAGGTGTAATTGCTCTTCCCTTCCTCGGGAGTTGCACAAAGGCTATTTTTAGAGGCAAAGGCCACCTGCAGGGAGATCTGCTGGGCCCAGACCTTGGGGAAGGGACGGGAGGGACGTGCGGGGATGAGGCGGCTCCGGAGGGGATGTGGAGCTCTCACCTGCTGGGGCCCAGCTCAGCTCCCTTGGACACCACACTGGGCCACTAATTCCAGGGAGAACGACACCACAAGCAGGGAAATTGCTGCTCTGAGCCTGCCCTGCCTAGATGGAAAAGCTGCTGCAGCTCCTGCAGGTCCTGGGCAGGGGCTCTGCTGCCACCAAGGACGAGGCAAGTGCTGAGCAGGTAACTGAGTCTCCAGAAGCCAAAGATTCCCTGGGAGGTGGCAGCAGTTGTTCCAGCAGCTCTGTAGCTGTTGCTTTGATCTGGTTTATCACTGAGGTGACTCTCTCAGCATCTCCTAGGGTCCTGGAGCTTCGACGGCTTTTTTCCCAGTGGAGAGCCCTGCTGTGATCCAGGACTACGTGGATGCTCCTTGATTTTTTGCCACCCCAGAGTGTGACCCTTCGTGCCCAGAGCAGATGATCTGAGGGAACTCTTGCACTCCTGGGTGATTCAGAGGCTGCTGAACTGGCTCTGCCAGGCCGGGTGGCTCAACGAGGCCGTTTCGTTCACACCCCACCTGGCTCTTTATTAGTGTGTCTGTCATCATTTGGGCTGGACATCGTGATTAACTCAGCTCACGAGACAAAGGACATAATTACCTGTTCCTGGGCTCCCCAGTATCGGTCTGGCTGCCCAGGCCCTGCAGCCTCTGCCCTGCCAGGGCTGCAGACGGGGAGAGCTGGGGCTGCCCCAGCCCTGGAGGGGTCCCAGGCCAGGCTGGAACAACCTGGGCTGGTGGGAGGTGGCCCTGAGATGGTCTCTGCCAACCCAAACTATTCTATTCTATTCTATTCTATTCTATTCTATTCTATTCTATTCTATTCTATTCTATTCTATTCTATTCTATTCTATTCTATTCTA